TGGAGCAGCTTCCGCTGCTGTGCACTGCTTATCCAAGGCAGTGCAGCAGCACTGTCCCGCACCTCCTTGCCTCGGCTGGGTGTGTGGCAGGCAGGCACAGCCCCTGCTCTCAGCACCTTCCACCGTCTGTCTGGAGCACAGCCCAGCCTGCCCCATGCAGACGTAGGGATACATGCCCACTCCCATGCCCTCCCAGACCAGCGGTGTGAAGCAACACACAGTGGCAGGGCCCCCCTCACCAAGTCCCGTGCCCCCCTGCCCTGGCTGGGCAGCTTGTCCCAGCCCCAGCCCCAGCCCCAGCCCCAGCCCCAGCCCTAATCCCTCCCTTGCTTTGGGAGCATTGATCTCCACCCCGCTCCCCCGCCGCCCCGTGCCTCTTCCTTCCCACCTCCACCCACCACAACAGATTTACCAGCTGGAGGCGGCTGTGTCCAGCATGGTTGAGGACTGCTGCCTGTTTAATCTATGGCCGAATCTCTGAATTGGCGCCAAATTTCTGGATCCAAATCAGCCAAATTGAATCAGGACAGTGATTCAAATCACCAAATTGAATCACTGTCCTTCCAAATGGGCCAAATCTGAAATCTGAAGCAAATACTTGCTGCTTCGCACAGGCCTAATGTTCACCTCCAAGGCCTCAGGAGAACACCAAGTGTAGACAGACTGTATCAATACTGAGCTCTGTTTTAAATCCATTTCTTGGAGTGCTGTGCAATTTTGTTTTGAAGAAGCTACTTCTGTTCTCCACTCACTACATACTGTTACTGACCACAGATTTCTAAAAGAAATTCTTCCACATGACAAAACTCTGTTGGGCAAGTTGAGTGTCATGCCTGATAACCCAGAGACCACAGGCAGCAGAAGGCCAGGGATAACAGAGTTTAGCCCCCCCAAAACTAATTTTGCAGCAGCCAGCAACGGCAGCAGCACCACAGCGCCACTGTTCCACTGCACCCGGCGCTGCTCCTCTGCTGCTGCATACAGCACCAGCATGCGCCAGCCCTGCAATGGCCCTGCACGAGGGAGAGGCAGGGATGAGCCCCCCCACCAATAATATTTACTCAGCCCCACCACCAAATAATATTTTCTCCTGCTGCCAGTACCAGAGACCCAGTACCAGAGCACCAGAGAGTGGCTGGATCATGAAGCTCCAAACCCGGAGGGGATTATCAACACAGGCTTGTCATCTGGAAGGCATGCACACAGGAGACTGGAAAACAGTCTCAGAAGCAGCATCCTACCAAGGGATAGGGTGGCCATTGGTCCTGTTTTATACCGGAGCATCCTGTTTTTAAACCCTTTGTCCCCTATCCATTTCTAAATGAGGAATGGACTGCAAAAAGTCCCATGTTTCAGTTCATTGTTAGAAATACATATCAATCACTTCTTGTGATTCTGTTGGCTGTGCCAGAGGAAGAGCGGTGCTCAGCCAGGAGGAGCAGGATTCCCAGCCAGCCAGGGAGGGACAAAGGTGATTTCTTGTGATGGCCCTGCCCTTTGCTGCTGATTGGCCAAGGAGCCAGTGTTTGCAACCCTCCCTGCTAACTGGCTGAGGAGATGGTGGCCCCAACCCTCACTGCTGATTGGCTGAGGGGGTCGGTGGTTACCTCTCTCCTCACCAAATGGATGTCCTGCATTCTGGGAATGAGTCAGTGGCCACCCTACCTAGGGACTGTGACAAGGACCACTATACACAAATTATAAACTAGACATTTAGTCATAAATTTTTAAAGGTCTGGAGACTTTTCACAAAGAATTTGTCAGAAAGGCTAAATAAGATGGCGGTGAAGATCCTGACTATTTCTCTAAGCCTTTACAATATACAGTAGGGCTGTGCAAAATTTCACTAGGTGTTTTGTTTCACAACTGTTTCGACACATTTTGCTCTTGAAACAGCAAAAGGCTTTGAAAAAGGTTTGAAATGAAACAAGGGCACTCAAAACTTTTCAAAAGTTTTGAAACATTTCAAGTTTTGAAGCTGGGCTTACTTGGCTTCAGTGCCAGTCCCAGGCGGCGGCGGTGGCGGCGGCGGCGGCGGCAGCAGCAGCAGCAGCAGCAGCCGCCTCGTCTCATCCGGCTCACAGATCTGGAGGCCCGCACCCCTGGGAGGCCTGCGGGGCTGTACCGTACTCCTCCTGGGGGTGTGAGCCCCCAGATCTACATGCCGGATGAGAGGAGGCTGCTGCTGCCAGCTGGGACTGGTGGCAGCAACAATCTTCCCTGGCATTGGGCGTGGGCTGCGCCCAGCACCAGTCCCAGGCAGCACAGGCAGCTTCATCTCATCTGGCATGCAGATCCGAGGGTTCGCACCCCCGGGAGGAGTCTGGAACAGCCTGAGCAGCCCTCCCAGGAGTGCAAGCCCCCAGGTCTGTGCCCCAGATGAGAGGAGGCTCAGGCTACCACTGCCATCTGGGAAAGCTGGCAGCAGCAATTTTCTTTGGTGCTGGACACAGCCTGCACCCAGAGCCAGTCCCAGGTGGAAGAGGCAGCCTCCTCTCATCTGGTGTGCAGATTCAGGGGCTTGCACCCCTGGGAGGGCTGCCAGGCTGTGCCAGACTTCTCCCAGGGGCACAAACCCCCAGATCTGTGTGCCAGATGAAAGGAGTCCCAGGTGGCAGCAGTAATCTTCTCCAGTGCTGGGCGCAGGCTCCGCCCAATGCCCATCCCAGGCAGGAGCGGCAGCTGCCTCTCATCCAGTGCACAGATCCAGGGGCCCGCACCCTCAGGAGGAGTCTGGCACAGTGCTGCAGCCCTCCCAGGGGTGTGGGCCTCCAGATCTGCATGCCAGATGACAGGAAGCTGCTGCTACCAGCAAGTGTCAGGAGTTGTGTTTTGAACAGTTTGAGGTGCAATTTTCTGGAAACCTCTGTACCTATCTCCTTGAACCTTGGCAGGCTTCCTGCCCTCAGAAGGGGCTACCATTCCTGCAATTTTCATCCAAATCAGGTAAGAAATAACACCTTTTTAGGCATTTTCATGATTCCCCATTATAGCCCATGGGCGAAATGTGGAAACACATCAAAACAGTGAAACAGTTTCAGCAAAATGAAATGGAACAGTGCTTTGAAATGAAATGACAAAACGTAACACTGTCCCTTTGAAGTGGTGAAATGGACGTTGAAACAAAATGATGGTGTTTCACACAGCCCTAATATGCAGGTATCACCATACCTCATTTCCCAAGCTCTTATACCAAATCCATGACTACAGCATCTGACCACTTGTACAATTATTCTGGATGAGTAATTTATAAAACTGTATACATTTTTCTGAATAGTTTACACTCAAGTCTTGTTACTATGTATTATTTCCTGGAGTGTGGTGTTATGGAGGAAATGAAGTTAGGAGGGATTTTGTAGAGTTAGAATAAAATAAAATTCTAGTAATTCACTGAAAGAAAATCATCACAGTTATTTCACACCATTCATTTACTTTACTTTTCCCATGTGAACATAATTAAAGCTTCACACTCAGTAAGTCATTCCTCTTATGTTACATTCTATTTGCCTTCACTATATGTACTAGTGGCTAAAATTTCTTGCAATGATAGGTCATGCCAAAACCTGGAAGCGGCACACCTCTGAATTTTAAGATTATTTGGATCCAGTTACCAGGCTCCAAGTCCTAACATTTTATAAGTATATGGTATACTTGAACCTACCTGATATGAAAAAACAAATTAAAAGCATCCTAAAAATAATTAAGATTATGTATCGAGCGGTTGGGTATTTCAAGCAGACTTTTTGTTTCCACTTTCACTGCTACTGATCTTGAAGAAGCCTATATTTTTTGCCAAAATCAAAGAGAACACTACCACAAACACCTCATGGCTACACGGAACCTGCCACATGCCATGTAAAGTTTGATCCTGAAAGACAATAAGCGCATTCAAATTTCTATTGGATTTAATGACAAGTGTGGGATCTCAACACCAGTATCTGGAAGCTGATAAGGCCTTAAGCCCTAGGGAATAGGGTGGTGCCATGCCAACTCAACAAGGTCATCAGATAATGACATGCCCAAACGGAAAAAAGCAAGAACTACAAGCACGTGAATATGCAAAGAGAATTTGAGAAATCAAGTTCAGGGGCTTTATACAAATACAAGGAGCATGTGCAGCATATAAGGGATAAAAGGAAATTCACACTATTTAAAGGTTGATCAATAGAGGTATGTTTACTTTAAAAGTTATATATGGGAATTCATTTTTTCCCCTGCAGAAAGAAAGAAGTGCATGCATTTAAAAAAATTGTTACATGGAATATAAATTGTGCTACAGCTCAAGCAAAGCCATTACTTCAGCAATCATAAGCATGAGATTCCTGAAGTTGGTGAATCCTTTAAAATTAAAATTCAAATGTATCAAAATGCAAGTCCATATTCAGCAACTGGGGCCCAGATAGAGCTTAAGATTCAACAGAGACAAAAGGGGACAATAATAGTATTCCCTTTCCTAAAGGGGTGGAGAAGAAACTTCTGCCTCACTCCATCAGATATCACCAGTCACACCAAATTCTTCCTATCAGAAAAAGACAGTAGCTACAAGTAGTGTGCATGTCTGTGTAGGGGGAGACAGAGGGAAAGCATGAAATCCCTCAGAGCTCCAATATGGAGACAAACACTAAATATCAGCATTTGTGCTGATTTAGAGTCAAACTCGTATTCCTGAAACCAAATTTATTTTTGAAACTCAGTATGACGATTTCGTAAAATGTATCCCTGAATTTCTCCATATTGTGGGAAGTACAACACTTTTGCTCACAAAATGATGTGTGAAATATGTTACATAACTTCACATTGTAAAACAAATCTCTCCTCATTTATACACAGAAGCTCTGGATAATTCAACCAATCCATTTGGAAAATATCAGAGGGACCCCTTTTATCAAAGCAATAAGCAAAATCATCCATATCATCATATGCATTGTCATTTGCTGCACATGCTTGTGTATAGTATTTGCTTTTTACAAGTGAACTAAAAGTGATCCTAAAGAAATTACCTGTTTTCTTCTATGTCAGCAGTGCAGAGGTTTTCCACAAGAGTATCTTTAGGAGAATTAAAAAAAAAAAAACAATCTCCTTTTGAAATCAGAAATGCACAGTTGGGGTGGAGATCTGAAGGAGAATAGATGCTCTAGTTCTCTTGAGAGCTCTGAAGCTCACAGATTGCAATATACATGCCCTCCTTGCATTTATACAGCTCCTGTGAGGATATTTCTCAAGCCCTGCTTTAACAACCATACAAAACAAAAAGCTAATTTTCATCTTCCATCTTGATAGGAGAGCAGAGGATGGCAGATGGGGAGCTGCACTGTACGTATGCTGCTGTTACAGCTGTACTGTCACTCTGCTGCCTTGAATCTCGGGCAGAGAGAGGGACGTGCTAAGTTATCTGCTTCCAACCTGAAGTCACATGATCACCATCCAGAGGAATGGCCGTTCTACAGGGACGACAATGATTTGCATTTTAGCAACCCTAGTATACAAATGGCAACAGTGCTGAGGAGCTCTAACAGAGTGGGGACTAGTGTCAGTGTAAGAATCCTCCCTGAAAAAATAAATTGTAGCAGTGTAGAAATGAACAGTATTAGGTTTGTATGTATCAGTTAGTGCTGGAGTATTTTAGGGAAAACATTATACCACAACCTTATGACTTGATTATTGCAAAATACTCAAATAGTATGGTGAGGAGCATCACAAAAATGCCTAATAATTTCATGTTTTAAAATCTAGATCAGAGGTTTCCAACCTGTGGTGTGTGGATCCCAAGGGGTCCACAGACTATGTCTAAGGGGCTCAAAAGATGATTATGATCAATCGAAAGTATGTGAAAACCTACATTTACAATTCAAAGGGGCCCACACCTCCATTCAAAATTGTTTAGGGGTTCACAAATGAAAAAAGGTTGAAAGGGGGGAAATCATCCCTTAGAGACCCAATACTAAGACAAAGACTAAATATAAATATTTGTGCTGATTTAGACTCAAACTCCTATTCCTGAAACAAAATTTCTTTTTGTTTAAATAAAATTTTGAAACTCAGGGGGTGCGTCTACATGTGCCACTAACACATCGCAATTAACACCAGTGCAGTTCATACCAGAGTTTATTGCTCCTGGGCACACATGTTTACATGTGTAAACATGTGTGCCCAGGACCACAGCATGTTGAGCTGGGGTGGAGGAGCCTTGGCTGACAAAGGGCCCAGGGGCTCAGCCTACCAGCCCAGAGCTGCTGCATCCTGGCTCAATGTGCTGTGGAGGAGCTGGCTGGGGCACAAGATAGTTCCAGAGAGGGGCTAGATGGAAGTCAGCCGTGGCACTAGAACACCCTTGTATTTCAGCTAGCCCCAGACACCATCTACATATGTGTTTCAGTGCATGTAACTACACCACTGTAGGATAGTACTTGTTAGGGTTACTGTATTTCCAGTTTCAAAAAAGAGGACACCTGTGGGGGGAGGGGGTATATGATTGTCGGGGGAGGGAGGACAGTGATATGCCCGTGCCCTGCCCCTACCCCTCACTCCCAAGCCACAGCCCCCCCACAGCCCTGCTGCTTCCTCTCACTCATAACCCACAGCCCACCCTGTCCCTGCTGATATCCCTCACTTCAGACCCACAGCCCCCTGGCCCTGCCTGTGCCCCGTGTTTCCAACCCATGGCCCCCTGTCCCTCTTGTGCCCCTCACTCCCAATCGGCAGCTCCCTGCCGCCAGCCCCCCATCCCCTACTGCCCACAATCAGTGCCCTTCACTCCTGATTTGAAGTCCTCTGCTCCCCCAGACCTGCTGCCCACACAGGTCCCTGCTGCCCCTTAAAAAATCCAAAGGCAGCCGCTACAAAAAATGTCCAGCCACCATGCTAGGAAAGAACACTAAACTCCTCAAGATCCACCAAGATATCAGGAGGTTCTGCCTCTTTTTTTTTCCAGAGAATGTCCTGATCTCACTAAGCCATTAGAGACCCAAAGCACTTTCTGTAAGTGCAGCAATACCAAAACCGAAGATCCTGAAAAAATAGCAATCAGAACAGCAGTATTCTACCTACCTAAGTTTCCCCATAGCTGGTTTTGCCCTTGCTTAAAAATTCTTGCTTTCTAAAAAAGATTGTCCTGAGCTAAATCTTGATCTACCCTCCTGTAATTCTAGTTTTCTTAGAATACATATATCCATTGTATGTCTGCTCTCTAGTTATTCATAAAAGTTTCTTCTCTGTCTCAGTGGTCTGGTGAGACTAGTACTGCTGGGAACTTGATGAAAGGAATGTCCTGGGCCACCTCTCCAATTACCTGAAGGGATCATGATAACATGCAACTTGAGGAAATAAACAAATGTAGTTTCTAACTTAACCCCTTCTCTGTTCAAGTCCAAGGATATATGTTAAATTTGGTCTCACTTCCAGACACAGCAAGCAGAACACACAGTTTCCACCGCAAGGGCCCTTCATCTTCTCCTTTGCTCTTTTGCTCAATGTGCAAGTACTGAAAGGTACTTTATCAAGAGCCGGTTGTTGGAAAAGCAAATAGGCATTAAACCATATGTTAAAAAAGAGATCTAGCACTACCAGAACAATCATGACTATGCTGATAGTGCAAAAGCTAGGTTAGCTCTCATGACTGCATCTACCTGAACTATGGAAGAGTTGTGTGGAAAGTCTATTTTACATTCCAGATAGCTTTGGAAACACTCAGCTCTTAAACAGATCTACACACATGCATGCCAGATGCATAATTCAAATTCAGTTTCAGACTGATTTCAGGGAGGCTCCAATTACAGTGATTTAAATGAAATTGTTCAAAGGACAGAATATGACCACAGGACAAAGAGAGTGTGCTCTTTCAGTGATTGGATCTTGCTTTTCCTTCTTTTCACTCTTGTTGCCATAAGGACCCCCAGACGAATTATTTTTACAAAACCAAGCAGTCTATGGGTGCTTTACAGTAGGGGTGTCCAACTTTGGCCCAGCTGGAGGCCACATGCAGCACTGCCTTGTGGTCCCCATGCTACACAAAGGGTGGATGGTTCCCACTCCCTCTGTGAGCCTGCTGTTACATGGGCTGTGCAGCACACTGCCCCTGGAACATCTTCTCCTTCCTCCTTTTGCTGCATGGGCTGCATGAGCAGCACAGAGCCTCATCACACAGATTGCACCAGTGCACATGGACCCTGGGCCCTCCCCTGGTACACAGCCACAAGAGAGGCAGCCACTGGGGCCCACAGGCTGCATATTAACTGTCCACAGACAACACAGCCTGTGGCCAGATGCTGGCCCCTCACAAGACTGCCAACTGGACAGCCCTGCTTTAGAGCATAAACTAAAAACCAGGATCGCCACCTGAAGACCGTACCACCCTATTGATGACTGGGAAGAATAAAAGTATAACATTTAAGAGAAACAGAATAAACAAGAATAGAATAGTTGAGAATGCAGACAAGCAATAAGATAACACAATTACTCATTTCTGCCTTGTGCGTATCTTGATGATTCTAGTAATTCTGGTTTAGTAAATTAACCCACTCTCCATAAACAGCATGGCAGGAGTCTGTTGCTAAGAGGGATCTGAAAGAGAGGAGGTAGATAACAGTGCACAGGCAGTAGAAAACTCATACACCAGAGGCAGCATGGAAAAAAGGAGTGGGAAAAGTATAAAGACGAGACAAAGTCAGAGACATATGCTTTCTTCTGTCTAAAAAAATCACGTCATATATCACACAACAGCAAGGGGTCACTAGACAAGCAAAAGTATTTTTTTCAATACTTTAATTTTTTCCCCTCCTAAAACACCATAAAAATCTAACTTGAAAACTAATCCTCTCCAAATACCCCTTTCTTCATTGCAGGACACAGTAGTATGTTTCTCTGGATAAGGCAGAGACTGGGACTAGGGACAGACATTCAAAAAGCCTAAGCCTGAATTGATTCAGTCTTTGCAGGTTAGTCTAACGTGGCTAGGCTAAATCGGTTTTGTAACCAGACAGAAGTGCAGACAGAAACCAGACAGAAATGTAGGAACACACCTGCAGTGGCTCAGGCTATAAGCCAGAGGGGTGCTAGAGCAGCCATTCTCAAACTGGTTTATGTCAGTTCTGTTACAGGTTTAAACCAGTCTCTGATTACTTAAACTGGTTTATGTGTAATGTCTGTCCCTAGTCCTATCTCACCCATTCATCTTCTGTGTGACGGTGGGCAAACAGTTCACCTCTGCCCTTCAATCTCACCTTTTAACTTTGGTTATCTTGTATGTAGATTGTAAACCGGCTAGGGTCAGCTCTGTCTTTCACCATGCATGTGTGACAGTAATCTGATCTCTGGTCAGGCCTCTCTAGTTTAAACCAACAAACACTTTGGATTTAAAGTTACTGAAGGCATTATCATTAATGGTAAGTAGCAGTCATCTCCCTGCTGAACAAATCATCACTGCCTTAGTTTGGGTCCCCCAGAAGCCAGTTAGGCAAACACATTTGGATTATAAAAGGATGTTACTGATTTTCAGCATCTGGAAGTGATTATCTTTAGTTTTCTAATATCAGGACTGTAAAGCAGTAGTTGAAGCCATTATGTATGTGGGAGAGGGAGCTGGGAGTGTTTATGAAAGTCATTATATTTCCATTTCTTTCCCTGTTACCCTGAAAATACATCGCTGAAACAGAAATCCAAACATTTTCTTCATTGAGTCAATAAATCATAAGGTTTATGTGATTAATGCAAAAAGTGAAAGTATGTACATTTCTCAACAACAGATGGAAACAAACAAATTTATGACTTTTTTTACATATGTTTGAACTACTGAAGATGATCATGTTCCTGACTGCTATAATGCTGAATAATGGAATTTCTAATTGCAAATTTCAGTCCCAATCTCACAATAATTTACTACTAGCAGTAATCCCACTGATTTCAGAGCAGTAAAATAATCATATGCAGAAGTGTAAGTCCTTACTGTGAAGGGGGTCATTAGGAAATTTGCAAAGTACCAGTGCTGACAAGTGGTAGTACGATATCTAGACAGTATGTTTCATAGAGCACCTACGTGCACACACACACATACACAAATTTATGGCATAAAAATTGAGAAGAGCTGTTTACATAAAGAGAGCATTAGTAACAGAGAAGAATGAGAGAAGCTCTTAAGCATTGGGAGCCCTCTGCTGACAGAATCAAAAAGGCTGAAAGTTGAATTAACAAGGACTATATAGCCACAGTTCTTGTATTCCCTCAAAGACATTCACAGGAATGTAACAGTAATGATCTCACTAGGAACCCCAAACCTCACAATTAAGGCATCCTTTAAGTATTTGGCACTCATTGTATTTGGGTACTACAGATGTTAAAATAAGAAACAAAAAGGGATGTTGTATTCATGAGCACAGTTCTA